GTGGAGTGAGGACGCCGTGTGTGGGGCGCAGAGATGCCGCAGTGCAGAGGAGGGGAAGATAGTGACTCTGCACGATGCCGGAAATGATGCCTTTGTGATCTAAATTAAACACCTGCACTGCAGTGCATATCCTCCCTTGCCCCATTCCTATTAAATCATAATCCTTCAATAATCCGTAAGGACCATTCAACGCAAGCAAACAAAACAACCCGTTTAGCGGCGACATCATCTCGGATAAAAAAGCGACAGTGATGATTAGAATTGACTTAGCGCGAGGGCAAATCGAGGGGTATATATGTATTATATGCCGAGTATTTTATTCCCATCTAGCAAATAAAGATTGGGGATCTTGTCCAACAAGTCAGCGGCCGTTCTAGACACAGATACATAAATGCTTTGCTTTCGGTCGCATCATTATCTGCAAGAATTCGAAGCGAGGTTTAACCCTCGCCGGCCGAGAAGAAGGGGTGGATGCCGCCACCATGTATTTTTTTTGCGGTAGCTCAAAGCACACTGATGATAGAAGGCTGACATTTCATATGCCTTACATTTGATTCAAGCCGGTCGCCGGATCATTTGAAATCAACCACGTTTTCATGTCAGGTCACTTAACTTTGACGTCTTAAGTAAGCCTCTGCAGACTGCACGGTTGTCGGTTATAAACTGATGCAAATCCGTAATGCACTTAGTGCCATATAAGCATAATGGGAAAATATGGAAACTGTTAATTTGGCGTCGGAAATGACCTAAAAGTATACCTCAAGCACATGAAATCGTGACTTCATACATTCTTGGCAAGATTTAATGCTTCACTTTTGCATTGTTCACCTTGCGTGTCGGAGTGCTCGTCAATAGGAGTGCTTCGTCAATAACTCCCGATCAAAATGAGCTAGCCAGTCGGGACAGCCGTCAATGGACTCTGGAAGACTTGCCGAATCAAATGTTATGCAACATGTCCTCCTTTCAACAGCTTCGTGACCTGTGTTGCCCTAACATGACATTGACCTAAACATCCTAAATTGCTTCACCTAAGCAAAAAAGCATATAAATCGACGCGTCTGAGAACAGAAACCATGATTGTATCGAAATGACGATAATGCGACCATTTTTTTGCGAAGTTATTCACCAAAAACCGATCTAATGCCTTGGGGCCCTTGACCTGCCCTAAGGGGTCACCGATATTTTAAAATTGGGTAACAGTCGCTGCGTCACGTAACGACGCAAGCGCTCGTTTTTTTCCGCGAGGCTCTAGCAGTTAGCTCAATTATAGGAGATAAACATGGGGTTGGGGAATCGCTCCCTTCTCACTCACTATTTGGCCGGGATAATATTTGCAATTATTGTTAAAACTTAACATTTTAAGATTTCAAATGACCCATTTTTCCGCCCAAGTCTTTCAGTTCAAGGTCATAACACCAGGTCATGTGAAGTGACCTTACCTCAAGGAAAGTTTCTGTGCTCATCATATCTAAATACATCGACTAACCGATCGCTTTAGAACCTTCAGCGATTTCAATGGGCAACAGTATATGTATTTGAAACGTTTACTTTGCAAGTTAGACATTGCTGACAGAAAGGTCGGGTCAATTTTGAGGTCGCTAAAGTCAATGGGAGAAAGTTGAACTGCGCTTTTTTTTTGGACGGAACGCACAATAAACACTCTGAAAACATGTGGTGCCTGATGAGATACAATACTGAATGAGAAAATTGTTTGTTTTGTTGGAACCATCTTTTTCGGTCTGAGAAGGCCCTTGCAGAGCTATGACATAACTATGCTCTGGTGTAGTAATTTGGTTGTGCGAGCCAGCGACAGTGATCTGCGGAAGCGTGACTGTTCCCGTAGGACGATTGCCCTGTCCAACCGTCTCCCCAACGGTCACCCGAAGAGGATTATGTGTCCTGGAATGGATCCGACATCAACTACAGGTTGGCTGGTGGGGTGACCTCCAGTCCAGAGAGGGAAGCATGAAGACTAGGGGCGATGTGGATTGTTTTTTCCTGAGGGTAGCGAGGACGGAAGGAATCTAGCACCCTTGACCCTTCCTTATACTGAATGTATCTCAGGCTGTTCAATCTTCTAAGCGTTTTTTTCTCGACATCGTCAAGGTGTCATTAATAAAAATATGAAATCCGGGAGGATAAATTAAATATAGAAATTGTGGCCAACAGAACATTATCAGTTGCGTTCAACATACTCGTAAGCATGATCACACACCCAGCTTACACATGAGCCATGTAATAAATATTTTTGATAGACATGCTTAACCCTATTAGTGGCAGGGGGGGTTGTTTTTATCCACCCCTCAGGTTTTTCGGGAATATCTCCGAAACCGCTGAAGCTACGATGCTGAAATTTTCTGACTTTTCCTAAAACTAAATTGGGCACATTCCCTGAAAATTTCAAGTTCATAACTTTACCAGGGGCGGCACCAGAGCACTGGGAATTGGGGGGTCCTATTCGTGAAGCGAGTCATTTGGGCGAAGATCACGATGCTGCACCAGTTTTACGAACAGTGAATAAAAGGTATCATGTGATAACATATACAGTTATTGTGCATCCTCTTTTGACACGCTTTTGCTATAATAGGCGGATCCAGGCGTCCAAAAAGGGGGGTTATGTTTTACCTCCCAGCATAGGTGCCCTGACACCGCCTATGCATTACCAATACAATTTTAGTCGTTCTCTCATAAGAAAATTATAACATAACAAGACCATTACCACCCTTTTTAGAAACAGTACCAACAAAAACCTTATTTACTATACTTTTTGTGTACCCCCAATCTCAATGATCTGTATCCGCCTATGATTTTTGAAAATGCATATTTTTAGGATCCATGTGAATTCCTGGTTCATTCTCTATCGATCGGCAAAAGTTGCGTTAAGATTGGTTCAGAAACCTGGCCGTGATAAACAGTCTAAAATGTATCTGCAATTTGCCTGTTTTTACCCCCCTCTACCCCCCCTATTGACATTTTTTAATTTTTATTTTTTAGAAATGTAGATCACGTTGAGCGAGATCGAATGCCGTTTGAATTTTGAAAATCGGCCCGGTAGATCTCGAGATATCAAGGGGGGGTCGTAAACAGCCCCCCCCCCTGCCACTAATAGGGGGTAGCCAGGAGCCTGCCACTAATAGGGTTAATTAAGTTATGAAATCATCACTTAAGTGTTTGTAAAGTTCCACGATACGGATCTAATATCCTGCTATGCATCATGACCATTGACCATTTCTGGTCAGGTCATGTCTTTGAACATAGGCCAAATTCTTCAAATTACCTTTAAAGATCAACTTTTGATTCATTCGAAGCGTTTTGATAAGAGGAACACGAGGCTGGTAAAATTAATTTCATGCAAGTTTAGCTTAAAACTTTTAGTGTTTGTGGAAAAGCAATTGGTTTTCTCATAATACCGATGGTGGTAGTTGCTGTTATTTACGTGCCGTTGACCTTAATTAAATCTGACAATATTGTTCAGACATAGCGGTAAACGAGCTGCTTGTTGTGTTAGGTTAGGCTCTTTCGGTCGATTTCAGAGTGGGAAGGATGACAGGAATTAGGGGGAGACAGGGGCCTGGGCGGGAGTCCTGGGCCTCATGCTCCGCTGGGGCCGAGCCCATCACGTGGGTTGGATTGCCCTGACACATGGATAGCCGTGGGCGGTGTTTCACGGCCCCGCGCTGCACATGCATTGTTGCGGCGGTTGATATGAATTCGGCTCCACGCTAGCGTTACGAGCTTCCGAGTCTGTTGATGCATCCATGGAAATTGGAAACCCAATGCACCGGTGCGCGCAACGCACCCTGTCCAAGCAAAATTTTATCATCGATGACCTCTGGTGACATGATCTTTTGCTCTGACCCGATCTAAAATTGGCTGAAGTATGTTTTCTTCTTTTTGCTACTTTTGACGCTACTTCGAATACCACTTAAATGCCCAAAGCTGAGTTATAAGAATGATGCTCAATCTCCATTTCCCCTCCAACAGGGCGTGAGAGTCTAGGCATTCCTGTGGGGCACGGGCTAACAATGACTGTCTCATAATCATTGTGGCCATGAACATCTACTGCCATTCTTTAACACCGGTTTCGCTGCGCTGAGCGGTGGCCGTCCCGTTTGTTGGATTCTACAGCTGGCTGGCGGAAAGCGTTACCGGCCGCCCGTCCACCGCCCGCGGGCCGGACCGAGCGGTCCCGCTGACCCTACCTGACCTGAGCCCGGCGCGATATGGGACGGGCAGACGGGGGTTCGGCTCAGCGAAGGCAGCGCCCACTGGTGCTGGGGACTTTTTTAATAGACCTACTGTACTGGGGGCGAATGGGATAATAGTTATGCTCACGACCCACGGTGAGAGACACGACCGGCTTGATTTCAGGTCACCTCTACTCCTTAAAATTACATATTTCTGAAGATTTCGTTATAGTGATGGAAGTTAACCCATCGCTTAATTTATCGCATATCGAGATATTGTTTGTGTCGAGCAAAACAGGCTGCCGGAACGCCTTTAGAGCCTCCTTCCCCCCCCCCCCCCTCCTGAATGCTCCAGAACCCCAGCGCCTAGACGTTGGCCAGTCGGCTTCAGTTGGCATCACATTCTTGGTTGATTGCTAGCCGTCTCAATTACATAAATAATTATACATCTGTGTACGGCACCACGTCACGTTGACTGTAGAGATAGGAAGAACAGACCTGCGTTTTTCCGTCACAAAGTGGCTTATTTGGAGAAAGCTATTGGCGTATGGTTGTTCTACTTGGTCGTACTCATCCCATAAGCAAGAAAAGCGGCATATTGTGTTGAAAGTTAGACGGACAGTATGCCGAGTTTGGTATTCAGCTCGAGCATGCTTTGATTAACTGGCCCATTGCCCCACAGTGTTTGCGCTGTAGGCTCTGATGTGTAACAGACCACGGCTTCTCATAACAAAGCTGCACTACGTAGTGTGATTTTCCCGGCTAATGTTTGCAGTTCTGGCGTATATAGTGGGCCGCGGCAGCCGCGTAGAGCAGTGATCTCGTGGCTGCCCCCGGACCGGTACCGGAGCCAGTGGACCATGTGGTGCGCAGTGAACCGCCCGCTGTCGGTGGGCCTCCTGGCGACAGCGCTCTGTGTCGGGGTCCTGAGTGAGGGCGGTAACCCGGAGACTGCCTCCCCGACGCCGCCGGCCTCGCTGGTCGGCACTCTGGACCAGCTGTGGGCGTTCGTGGAGCGGCTGGAGGGCGCCGCTGGCCGGGCCGTGCTGGCCGGACTGGACAGCCGGCTGGAGCAGCTGCACGGCCGGCTGACGGCCCAGCTGGCCGGCCTCGCTGAACGGCTGGACGGCTGCCGACCGGACGCCGAGCTGGCGGCCCGTGTCAGTGAGCTCTGCAGAGGGAGGGAGGACAGCGGTCGGCTGGAGACGATCTCTGCCCGGCTTGAGACGCTCTCTGCCCGACTGGAGACGCTCGCTGCTCAGCTAAACCGAGCTCACTTGAAGCCCGCACCGCCCCGCGACTGCAGTGACCTACTGGCCGGCTCCCAGAGCGGCATCTACTTGCTGCGGCCCGGTCTGGGGGCCGCCGGAGAGGTGCCCGCCTACTGCGACCTGGACACGGACGGCGGACGGTGGACCGTCATCCAGCGCCGGGCCGATATCGAGCCCCGCGAGGACTTTTACCGAGAGTGGGCCGCCTACAAGGAGGGATTCGGAGAGCTTGATGGTGAATTCTGGTGGGGCCTCGACAACATGTGGACCATGACATCACCCAGAGATCGGCAATACGAACTGCGTATAGACTTGGAGGACTTTGAAGGTGAACGGAGACATGCTATCTACCAGAACTTTCGTATCTCCTCTGAATCGGACGGATACCGGCTCAATGTTGTGAACTACACCGGAAACGCAAGCGATGGGCTGGCACATCACGTCGGCATTCGCTTTCATACCAAAGATAGAGACAATTTTAGAGGATGTGCTGCGGACTACAAGGGCGCCTGGTGGTACAACAACTGCCACGACTCGAACCTGAACGGCCAGTACCTCGCCGGGCCGCACACAACTCACGCCGATGGCGTCAACTGGGAACTGTGGCGAGGCAACAAGTACTCGCTGAAGGCGGCCAGCATGAAAATCAGGCCCACCAGGAAGGCTCTGAATGCGACCTGATAAGTGATATACATTATACATGTACCTACCTGCTGATTTTGTTTATTTGCGGAACAGTTCAAATATGTTTCATTACGATCATGAGTTATGTACGTTTGTTATTCGTGAGCCAAAACATGGGCACGTGGTCTGTAACAATAATTACGACCTTATGCTGAACAGCACTGGAGTGTTCATATTCCATAACGCGAGCAATTTAGAGGGGAGGGGGACCGGACAGAGCTCCCCTGCTATCTCCGAGTTGCCGACGACTTCCCGCATATCTCGTCCGGTCCGCAGCCCAAAGTTTGCCCGCCTTTGCTGCAAACGGTGGCAGCTGCCTCTGTGTCGGCAGCTGGTCACCCACTGACCCGGCCGGTGCCGGGCCAGTCGGCGGCCGTCCGGGACGCCGGGAGCCGTATGTGCGCCGTCTGACGGCACCTGCTCCACCTGCGGCGGTCGATAAGGTGACCGGGCGGCCGTCTGGAGCGGCGACCCTGGCATCCTCTGACGCTCAGCGCCCCCCCCCCCCGACCTCGGCTCTCCCGGCCCCGACGTCCTCTGACCTCAGCGCCCTCCCCGGCCCCGGCGTCCTCTGATGACCCCCCCCCCCCTGTGGTACGCCACGCCCCGCAGCAGCAGACGAATGTCGGTGGCGCCGCTTCCTGAGAAGTCATACTGGAGCCAAGGGATATTATTTACATAAATGATGGTATTCTGTGCACTGTCAAACCTCATAGGGTGGTATACCATCTTTGGTGGTTCCAGATATAATGAGAAGCAATGATTTTATTTGTCTTGTACGGAATAAATTGGTCACGTTAAACGTATGCAAGAGTTAGGTATCCTTTGCCTTCCCGCCATCCAAACTAAATGCTTTATTTGTTTCATTTAGCGATCGAAGGCGGTGGATTAAAGCGTCATCAGCGCTAACAATCGCTAAGCGCCAGAGTACACGTACCCTTTGTCCGTATCCCGTGTCGTTGTCGTGGTATCGGTTAATGCCCGACAGGTCAATGTCGGCTGTGCTGCCGCAGCGCTGCCCTGTTAGGACAGACTGGAGTGGCCCAGATTACACGGTCGACACAGAGCGCGTGCTCAACGAGGGAGTTTCGGTTCACGGAGCGTTCGGTCCGGCCGGGCTGATGGGGTAGCTGTGGGGTCGGCGGTGAGCGGGTTCGGTCGAGGTACTGGGTACGTCTCTGAGCCGTGCTGGTCGGAGCAGCTATCGGGGACCCAGGCCGCGGTCGGAGCAGATGAGGGCGGACCGGGGGTGACCGGGGGCGGGGGGAGGCAGTCAGACAGTGTCGGCGCCGGCGTGTGTCCGATCTGGCGTTGCCATGGTAACGGCCCGTGGTCCCCGGAGGCGGTCGGCCGCGGCGCCTGCTCGCATGTCGAGCTGTCTGTCGGAGGCGCCGCCGGTGCGGGGCGCGGCGGGGTACGGTATGCGGCGGCCGACGGTCGGACCAGAGCCGCCGTCCGACCAGCGACGGCGCCTCACCGGGCTCACAAAATGCATTATGCATAATGCATGCTGTGTGATGTTCATGCAGTGTCATGAAACTGGAATAAATGCATCGATTTGAAAGTTCTTAAAGACATTTTATATCACGGAGGCATAGGTAGGCTTGCGCTCAGGGCTAGTTAATCGTTATTCGTTGTCTAGTTCAAGCACAAAAATAGGCATACAGTAGGTAGGTAGTGCTTTTCATCGCTCTCGTGCTTAGGTCTGTTTTTCTCCCATATCCATTTGCACGCTTGACGCTACACGCATTCTGATTCGCCCCTCAAATATTGCCCGATGCGGGCTCAAGCAACCAACCATGTGTTCGCGCGCCGTCTGTTCCGCCCAACACGGGAGTACTGCGGGCCAGCCTACCAGCGCAGGTGACGTCAGCGCAGCCGGCCGGCGACGGGACGGGACGGCACTGAGTGGCAGTCAACGCGATACGAGCGAAAGCACTTAGAAGATGTGACATGTCATGAGCGCGGGGGGCCTCGGGTCGCACGCAGTTATATAATATCGGACGTTTATGCTTACCTTGGGAATACGCGTAAAAAAAGTTTGGGAAAGGCCATCGGTCGACTTCAATGATAGTTTGATCTGTCGTCAAACTCAAGACGGATCTGTCCCCGAAGTTACTGGAACATATCGATAAAGTTGGGATTCCGATGCTCGTTCCCAGAGAGCTCGATAGCGTTCCGACTAACAGTTCAATCTAATCAAAAGCTACCGTAAAAAGTTAATGTTTGTAGATAACACTAGATGAACTATATGTGGGTATGGGACGCTACAGATTACCAATATCGAGATTAAGGAAGTTTGAAACCTAACTAAATTTTGTTAGGAAATAAGTAGGTAGTTGCACTATTTGCCATTAACCCGGCCGGGCCCGGGGGGTAATCCCAACCACCGCAGCCCGGGGGGGGGGCGTTTTTCGCCTCCCCCCCCCTGTCTAACTCCGTAAATAAGGGAGCTACGGAAACAAAAGCGATACCAAACGAAAGGTCCTTACGTGACGATTCTAATGCACCTAAAATTTTTGACCTCAGGTCAATTTTCAAGGTCAGAGGTCAAGGTCAAAGGCAAAAACCGCCACATGTGTAGTGATCTCAAAGTAAGCCTTCTAGAGGACGGCAGGCTGCATCAAACCGGCAAAATTGGCTGTCAAACGAAAGAAGAGAATCTGAGGATTCTGAAAATGTGCTCAAAGTGAAAGGTCAAGGTCAAAGTCACGCTCAAAATTGACCTCAAACTTGGCACTTTTTCGCTATTGCGTGCTAACTTCCAAGATGTTTTGAAATGTTTTGAGGCTTATCAGTTCCCTATTTGTGGTTCATCTTACGATACAAGGCTGCTCAAAGGTCAAGGTCACAGAAGAGTATCCCTGCTAGAGGCTATTTCACTGATTCAAGTTAGTAATAATAAATAAGACAATTTTGCAATCCGGAAGCTCTAAATGAAGGCTTAGAGGAAAATATATGCCAGGTTCGTGATCAGCGGGTACAAATCCATCATAAACGACCTTTCATGTGTCAAGGTCAACCAGAGGTCATTGGAGGTCACATGAGGTCAACATAAAATTTGACCTTTTCCGAACAAAATATATATCATTCGACGCGGCTTGACAAGGCGAATGCGATGGTACCACTGCCGTAGCTCTAGGACCATTTTTGTCGAAGTTATTTGTGAAAAACTAAAACCACATTTCGGGGTCCTTGACCTGACCTCTGACCTCAGGTCACCAAAACTATTTTTCTATTTTTCTCTAGGTCAAACGCTACACAACCGTGCTCGTAATTTGTCTTTATCTCTAAAACTCTATTTTTAGTAGCTATTTGAAGTTTGCGTCTGTGACGCCGAAGTTTGCCGTGCAGGGGTCTAGAAAAATGGACCTTGTGACGTCATCAAGGGGGCTAGGTCCAAATTTTTTACTTCAGAAGATGTCAAATTGATGGGAGAAAAGGTACTGAAAGTTTCTCCTTCCTATCCCTAAGCGTTCGGGAGCTATCGCAAATATTCGCCAGGGGGGGGGGCGAAAAACGCCCCCCCCCGGGCCCGCGAGGGTTAATGATAGCGATTCCTCTCGTAGCCCCTCTTTCCCTCAATATCCACCGGTCACATGGGAGTAAAAAAACTTATTTGCTTATCGCATCAATACCTAAATTAGACGTTCAATCCATCAAACTAAGGCAATGCAGAGGAATATGCTGGATATAGGGGATACAATATCTAACTAGGTACTATATGCTGGCTGCTGCATTCAGCAGCCAGACTTTTCAGACCGGCGCGGCGGCCGCGGTACCAGTCCCGAGCGACGTTACCTGAGAGGCTTCTGTAACACGACTGCAGCTGCAGCTGCCCTCGGACGCCCGGCAGTAACTGTGGGCTGCTCCGTGCCGCGGCCAGTGCGCCGTCTAGTTACCGGGAACAAGGCCGTGTCCCGGCTGGCCGGACACCCAATTACTCGGGGCTCCTCGGGCGGCGGCGGCGCCGGCTCCGTCGACCGCCGTCTACCCAGAACGCCCCGCTGCCTGGCCACTCGTACCCACTCACTGGCCAGCTGAGGCAGTGGCTCAGAGATCTCAGGGGGCGCTCAAATGATTTTTTTTTCTTTCTAATAACTGGTTATCTGGTTTCGAACTGTGTAATAAGGCCAGGGTTTCATTAGCGTTGAGTGTTTATACTGACATAAGATGCGGCGTTCCTGTGGCGCTCTCATATGGCAATGTTTTCCTGGGACCAGATTAGACCATGGGCGCAATTAGACAGCACTATTACTGCATAAGCATTGATGTGAAACGTTAGGGTCAATTATATGAAACTTAACTAATTAAATATATGTGCATTGTGCTATCATATTAGGGGAGAGTGGGGTAAGATGCCCAGGGTGGGAAAGACGCCCCACCCCCTCTAGCGGCGAAACAAAGAATCGAACCTGGAAATTTATGTTCTTATTGTAAAGCAGAAGCCTGCCTTGTTAACTGCACAGTGCACAAAAATTTGCGAAGTTCAGTTGGGCAACGGCTGGCTGGTGATTGCATGTTTTTTATTTGCTGCTTTCAAAAAATATTTTGGTGTCAAAACATTGTAAATATCAAAGAAGGTAGATAATTTTTGCGTCCCTTGCTATAGTCGTGATACATGAACATGCGTGTACACTGTACTGTGTCCCAAACAGTTTGTTTCAGGGTGCAGTTTTATGGCTAACAAATTGTACTGATTTAATGTTACTTCGGTACCTTGGGGTAAGATGCCCCCTGTCCTGATTGGGAAAGACGCCCCCCCCCCTAAATCCGTAGGCTGGCCTTCAAGGAACCCGTCAAATCATTTATTACATACTTGTGATAAGAGACAAAAGCCGATCTGGGACTATTGAGAGTCCAGTACGGTCGGGTGCTCCCCATGCCGGTCTCTCGGCCCACACAGCGACTTTTTGGGCGGTATCTGACTCTGAGAGCCCTCACGACGGCCTCTGTGGGCCCCATTATTGGCTCCAGGGCCCCTCACGACATCCTTTGAGGGCTCCCACGTTGGCTCCACGGGCCGCGCTGGCATCTGAGGTCCCCACGATGGGCTCAAGGACCCTCAAGCATCATGAAGACCTATAAGGGCCCCACAGTGGTCTCCGAACGCCACTACGGAGGCTTGTTTGGCCGCGCTGGACTATGATGGCCCTAACGATGACCTCTGAAGCCCCTTAAGACTACTTTTGAGGGCCCTTACGATGACGTTTGGGGTCTTCTGCAGGCTCGAAGGGACTACTGATTCGTTCAGGCGATTCACGTGCCCATTTATGTCATTTATAGTACAGGGGGCATCTTCCCCAACGCCAGGGGGCGTCTTTCCCACCCTGTGGGGTAAGATGCCCCCTTTCACTTCTTCAGGAAAATGCTTAATAGCAAAAAAAGTTATCATATTTCAGGCACGAAAGTGTAATATTTTTGGAGAAAAATGATGTCGGCTTTCGTTGAAACTCCAAGTTTTTGCTTTTCGATCGTCATTTTCGAATAATATATGACATAGTAAAACCCTGGGCATCTTTCCCCACTCTCCCCTACTATTTTGCAACACATGCTGACAAATAGCGAGGATCAATTAGTTAGTCAGATCAACTATAGCGTTTTGCTGACTGTGTCGCTGATCCGCAAAGTTGTTACAGTTACTCAATTCATCTTGGGTATTATGTCAGTGTGAGACATGCTAGGATAATTATTGACTATCATATGCCACGCAATCCGATAGAGAAACGGTGCCTACGCCACAATTGATGAAAAGTGCTATAGGGCGTATAAATCACCCATTTCTTCAGGTAGGTGTGTAAACCGACGTAGCGCCATGTCACAAACAGCAGGTCATTGGGACTGTAGCGCGAACCGGGCCACGATGGCGTGCTGCCGAGAACGTCGGGCCAAACCACTTCCTGAGAACGTCACCGTAAGTGGTTCCCGGCACAGCACTTACGACGAGTGAAGTGCACAACTGGACGTGACACTAAGTGCCCATATGCCGGACAAATCGCACTGGGTGCACCGGTGAAGAATGTGAAGCTTTTCGCGAGAAGAGCGTAGCGAAATGCATATGGAAAGCATAGGGATAGCATCCCCATCAACTATGGGGATGCATCAACATCAGCTTACGAAACCATATAAAAAGGTGTGATTTTGCAATATGTTAGTGCATGTTATGTTGTGTTGTCTGTTTTTATATTTTCTAAAGTGCTCGACCCGTAAGTAAAGTTAGATAAAAATGAATAATACTCGGATTATTAGAACAGTTCCGTGGTCTATAATGCTAAAATGCCCTCGAGATCTTATTTCCAATGCAATATTTTACAGAATGCAGCGCCACAAAAAAAACTGTTTATTTCAAAGCAATATCTCCAACATGCCTTTCCCACGGTATTTAAAATGAAGCAACCGGTAAGATCTATTTCTCTCCGCAAGTGTTGCTACCGTCTATAGACGGTTACCGTGACATAAACGGGATGATTTCGCTGACACTGACCTTTGCTCCTATGACACGCTAGATCTCGGTAAGCCTCTGACATTTTCAAGTCAATGGCTCAGTCGATGATGCCCGTTCTCGTCTGCAGCTGATCCTCGGATCACCTCTCAGCCAGCCGGTAGTTGTTGACTCTCAACCCAAATGGCTGTGAGTACGGCAATCATCTTGTCCCGCTTGGGCCAGATAACCAGCAACCTTCCATCACACACTCCAGGAATGTGGTCGCTGCTGCTTGTTGAATTAGGACAAGAGACTGCTTTGTTCTGATATTTAACGTCTAGCATGCTTTCCCTTCAAGCGGGGAAATAAATGCGTTCAGATTTCAGCCCGATTAGCAGAGGTTGACCTTATTCCTTTTCACCACCCGGTTTCTATGACCATTGCAATGGTCATGCAATGGCTCAATGCATTGAGCGATGACCAGACGTTCGGTTTAGGTATAGTTTGAGCTTCAGGCCTGGGTGGGCTGATCGCTCCTCGGGAGACTGGTCGGAGCCGATTGGACAGTTGAGTGGCCACGTGCCGCGGCGACCAATCAGCAAAAAAGCCCCGCTGGAAACGGCCGGTAGGCGCGGCCCGGCCGGCGGCGCCGCTCTCAAAGAGGCCGCCCGACCGCCCCCCTGGGGCCCGGGGCTGATTTTATGGTCATTGTACGACTGGGCTGGCGGCGGAGAACACCGCCCGCCGGCGGAGAGCGCAGCTGGGCCGGTGGAAACTGCAGACTGCAGAGAACAAATGCCGGGGCCTCGTTAACTGGAGCGGACGCGGCAGGCCGCCATAGTGCAGACTGCAGTCTCACGGCGTCGGGGTTTATCTCCAGCTTCTACCCTGACATAGAACCCTATAATGGTTAGCTTAACGAGCATATTAAAGACATACCGGCAAATCAGTAATTAGCATCTTCAGCATGTGGGTCAAAGTGATCATGTCGCTATGACCAAACGTTTTTGGCAGCTACCTTCAAATTTTGAATGCTCATGTCTTTTTCGAGAATGCGGTGTGCTCACTGTGCAATGTGTGGTCTGTGGACTACCTCTTTGAGACCAGAAGTATGCGAGACTACCCTCATTTCTAATTAACGATAGGTCACCTGTACATAGGTGTTTGGCCATCTCCATTAATGATTTTTTTTTGTGCGCCTGAGGATCACGTGCATAGGACACGGAGGTTCCGTAGCGGCCGGTAGTGGTACGGGCACTTTCAAATAGCAGGCGATTTCGCATGCTTCGATCATCGTTATGTTTCCTAGAACGTAGGTATTTGTCATTTGTACACATCACATGTTTCAATACCGATTCACACTAAACGTGCACATCAAACTCCAGCTGTATTTGTTTGTATTTATTTATTTGGGGTTAATACGCTGTCAACAGCAACGCGGTATGTACTATACATAATTGGACGACTGTTTCTACGCGGCGCGACTGCTGAAGCGGGGCGACCTCGGCCGGCGCCGGGCCGTTTGCGACTCCCGGGTCGCGGGCTCAGCGTACCGCCGGCCGCGGGATCCTGCGAACGCCTCATCCGCCACCGAGGAGAACACTATCCCACTAGAACGCAGGCGAAACTATCATCACCCACGACAATACAGCACAAGATAAACAGAAAGGCTAAATTCGTAGGGGACATTCAGGCAAAGCATAATAAAAACACAGTTGAAATGAGCATCAGATCGTCTCGTTTCGGACACGTTTGATAAAAAAAAAAATGGTAATGTAGTGCGTTCATTGGGGTAGGTATTCATGTGTAAGGACAGCCAGCACTTCAATGCTGTGGCATACAGATCAGCACAACACATTACAAACAAGTTCTCAGTAACAATGGCGTCTTGTGTACCGAGATGGACAACAAATAACAATGGAAACATCACACAAGTCATCAGGTATATGTATCCACAACAGGCTGTTGCCTGCAACATACAATGTGTACCTAAAGTTAACCGCATGGATTTAAAAAGACCGTTAACTGTTTGTTTAACATGATGTAAGGAATGCTGGAATTTAAAAGCCTTTGGTACCTACATGCTAAAATGGTAGGCAAGCAAGAAGATATGCAAGTGAAAAATGCAATGAAGCATATGTGTCATAAGCGAATAATTTATAAACAGGCAGGTAGGCACCTTTTATTAAAGGGACCCTCCCACCTTCAAAAAAGTTAATGAATTGGCACGAAAGTGATGTCGCTCGGTTCAGAAAGAGCGAAAACGAATATCTACCAAATTTCATCGAAAAATATTCACCGGTTTTCAAGATATTAGACTTTTACTTTTGTTTACTTTTTGGAATCTCCGCTGTTCCTAGCGACTTTATTTGAAAGTGCGGCATTTGTTGCGCGCAAAGCAGCATATACCACCGCGTGCTACCAAACGTTTTAGTAAAAGATTTAAAAATCGTTAGATCTCCGCTGACGTCACAAATTCTAAGGGGGCATACCAATGCACTAGCCCCTTAGAATCCGAAAACTGCAAGTTTGAAATTCCATATCTCCGAATTAAAGCATTTGTCGATGTTGTGAGTGCCCAAACCGGTATTTGCAGGCCATGGCCACCAATTTGGCTATCTCAACTCAAAACTAATGTTAAGGTGGGAGTGTCCCTTTAAAGTGTAGGTATACGTATGACAAAACACGATGTCAGAACGAAAAACTTGGCCTTATAGGGTAGCTTTACTTCCAAGAGGTGCATATAAAAATAATATTCCCTCTTTTACTGTTTAATCCTTTTATCTTAATTAAGGTACAGTTAATTAGTTAAAGTTTTTACACATTTGGCATCCATAGGAGCAGGATAAACATTCAGTCACATTTGGATATGTTTGGGTAATTAGTAGGTATATTTATAGATACGTTTATACTGCAACGTAAACAAAGATAACGCTGGTTTCAAAAGATACCTATATTCTTACATCTGTCCATAACAGCAGTGGACACCGGACAAGCTCATATCGGCCTAGTAAGATATTTTTTTGAATATTAATTAGGAATGGATCTGCATATATTTGCACACATTAATTGTTTACGTCTAATGTTTCATAGGATTGCAGCGTTCAATATTTAAAACATCAAAGAAGCCACAAGATAAAGGAAGCTACGACCCATAATGATGCACCTAATTAAGTATTGATGTGATAAGCGTAAATCTCAATTATACATATACGTAGGCTTTAGCTGTTATTACTTTCAGAGTTAATGCAGCCAAGCCGCAATAGCAGCACACTCGGTAAGGAGAGTCGATGGCTAACGCATGTCATTTCAGATATGTTTGCTGAGACAATTGAAAGGTGTAACATCTAATATGGTTGCAATTTCGGTCACTAGGACATGCATGCTGCAGGAAGTTTAACCCTTTAGCAAAAGTATAACGATCAAGAAACAAGACATTTATCCAAAAATACTGACAAATCCACCCGCTCGCTCACACTGTTTGCTGCGATTCCTTCCTAAGTAGATGTATCTCAATGGAAAGAAGTTTGATTTTATATTTATCACGTAAAAGCTTTCAAAGCCCAAGATGATTGTCTTAAAAATGGATACCAAATAAAAGAGCAATTAATACATTTTCCAGCAGATGTGCATGCGTTATAAGATAATGATTGTCATTAACCAGCTTGAATCACAAGGTATACAATAGAAATTGAAAGGCGCTGTGTGTTGATAATAAATTGAGCCACATGGAGTATCGCTGTAAACGAGGCCTGCCAGCTGTGCTGGCAGGCGTGCAGCTACGGCACCCGTTTGCCTTTTTAGCTGGAACGCTGCTGAAGAGACATCCCAATAGTGTACGGGGCTAGCGCTAGGGATATCGGTACCCATCGACATTCGACAGGACAGAACCCATCAACAGGACACCATTGGAGTACATTAAAATATTGGGATCTAAAACGTGAACGGATCGACTCAAAACCTAAGTTGTCTCAAACCTAAGTACTCATCTGTGCTGCGTCACTACGCCATCTTGCCCAACAAGTTCACTATTCTCGACTGCAAACCTACCAAAGCGGCCTAAGTCTTTCACTATCATAGCTATATCGAGAGGAATGAGGCCATCACAAAAGGACGAACGACACATATCGGCGCCAAATATGGCCATTCTATGTACACACAATCTGAACAGGCGTGTACAAAGATATTATCGAAAGAGTATTGTTAAAATGATATGTTGAGATTGTCTGTGCAGAGCACCATTTGCATTATACGTTCTCAAATTGATATGTTGCATGAATGGCGTGGAACGTGAAACGTCACTTCGCCATCAAACATGAGTTCATCTATCGAAGCTGATAGATGTCAGCCACTTTTTACAGTTTACACATGTAAATGACGTTTATACAAGGCCGTGGCCGGGTAGAGAGCTGGCAGCATGATAATCCACATAGAGAACACACTTCTTACTGACACCGGGCTGGATGGGCGTTGGGACCCGGTTGGTGCTCAACCTTCCCCGGCACTCCCAGCTGGATAGTTTTGTCCGGCTAGCGTATAAGGTCCCAGCTTCAAGTGCTGATAGACTTTTGCTGATGTGAAGCTGGTTTCCTTGCCAACAACTGACGACAGAAGCAGCAGTCTCAGCCACCAGCTACAAGCTGAGCCAGTAGAGGTAATTCTCGCTATATACAGCGGTGTGATCTGTGACGTATCATGTTGCCCCGGCCATTCCGGCCAGCGCTGCACGGCTCGGAATCAGGGCGGTGCGAGGGACGCGACCGCACAGCGCGCTGTCGGACCATTTGGACCACACACAGACAGACACACAGAGACCCCGGACAGCGTCATGGCCGCCGGGCAACGATGAGAGATGAGACACCGCCCCCACCGTCAGCGTCCGGAGCACGCTCTGATTACACCCGAGAGGGCGTGTCCGGGTCCCTCTGCGTCCCTCCGAGACGCCCCAGACCGAGCTTCGTCAGGCTTGGACCGCTCACTGCGCCCAGAGAGCCCAGCTCGAGCCGTCGAGCACTGCCAGCTCTCTCGTAACGAACTACGTGAGCTGCTGACAGACACACAAACACACACAGACATTCACCACGGGCGACACGGACAATGATGATATGTTATAGTGAAGACACTCTGTTTCAATGAAGTAGGTATAGTCGGTCGGACTGGCAGCGGTCCGACGCCGAGCTGAACTCAGCTACCTTTGGACAGTGTGCGGACTGACTGTCCGACACATCTCTGAACTCTGTCCGACACATGTTCGAATGTCTCTGTCTGATACACCAGCACACACTGGCGGACATGGGCCCTGTGTAGTCCTCCCGCGAGTTTCCTCGCTCAGTCTCTGGGCGTCAGCGGGCTGCTGAGAGATTCTTGGCTGGTCACGGGCTGCCCACTCCGCCCCTCAGCCCGCGGCAGAGGCCTCGCAGCGTGACTTCCAGCACACGGCGCCTGTGGCTGTTTTCTGAGCTCTAAAAGCCTGTAGAAGCAGCTCACCAGCGCAGGCCAGGGATCAGCGGCAGCAGCAGACAGCCGGTCACGGCAGTTGCGATGACAGGGCCGGGTCGGTCGCCGCTAGACGCTATCGCGCAGGTGATGGGCTGGTCGTCCTCGGGGTTTTTAACTGGCGGCACGAAGGGAATGCAGATTCAGGAGGCGAGTTACAGACTATAGTCGGGGAGGGGAGGGGTCAGAGGCGGGTCGCAGTCGGAGAGGGGAGGGGTCAGGGGCGGGTCGCAGTCGGGGGGGGGGGGGGCTCGCCAGGTCACGGAGGGGATAACACTCCCTAATGAAACCGGGATTCGGGAAGCCTATTGACAAGTGGAGTTTTCAGTTGTGTGCAGTCACATATTAACAATACAATTGCAAGGGATCAAAGGGAAGACGTGGGCAGAAGACAGAAACGATTTAATCAGATTTTGGCTCACACATCATTCAGGAAATTTCCGACTCGTTAAAGCTCACGAAACGAGATCTGTTTACATAATGTTTCCATTTTTGGCAATAAGTTACATAAGCAAGAATTTAAAGCAAAAATGTAGAGCAAAAATAATATAAAGCAATAAATGCAGAGCCAAAAGAATATAAAGCATGAGTTTGCACGCTTCGCATAAGAAAGATGGCGTATTCCGTAGAAGTCAGGCAGCCCCCAATCCAATTTCCCAGAACTCTGCAATAGAGCCAGCCAACAAGGTAGTATTTAACGGCCAATGCTGGGTTCTGACATGTGAGCGTGGCAGCTCATTGCTGGCTACCCAGCGACATGTATATTTCGCTTCGAGTTCCCCGAGTTGGGGCACACCCAACCAATCTAGAACTCATCCTGTCCGTGAAATCGCCGTCCCATTTATGGACTTTGCATGTGTCGTTGGATTTCCAGGAGCCAAAGGTCGGCAATATATTCAGTTCGAGCTGTAAAACGTCTCCGGTGCTGCCAATCAATATTGACCGGGACTCCAGGAAGCCCAATTAACTGCCGGATTTGATGGGTTAAACGGGCGGAGCAAATGATAGTCGACAGACTATTTTCATAACATTTTTAAACTTGAAGCATATCGGCCCGGGGCTTAGCGTTTTCGCATGGATCTGCCTTATTTCGAACTTAAAATGGCATGGCTAGTTGACAACCAAGAACTATTTATTCCCAGTACATGAGGTCTGTTTCATAACTGTTTTAATGCAACAAAGACACTCATATTAATCTATTCATTTGTATTTACTTTCATTTGCATTAGCCGACTTTATGTGCACTGCAGACCATTTACAGCGCCGGTCAAACATATTACTGACTGGTTAAATATCGTACGCACACTTTTGGGGATAAGCATATTTTTCAGCTCTGCAATGGCCTTCAAAGTTACCAACTGCCTGCCTAGAATTACCGGTCCTCCGTTTGTTCTCAAGAAGCCTACACTCAAATTCACATAAACCTTTTAGTCGGCTGCAGAAAATGGCACGTCTTAAGAGGTCGGCTGTGATATTTCAGCGCCCTGATAGAGCCGAGCCGGCTGGGGCTGAGGCGGCCCTCGGCCGCGTATCTGGGCTGAGAGGGCTCCTGCCCGGCGGCGGCAGGCCGGTACTGCAGCCATCGATTGGCCCCGCCAGCACCGGCCAGCGCCGTCTCAGAGGAATCGGCGCCCGTCACCTCCACATTAGGCAGCCGGCAATCTCCCGCTATATCCGCAGACAGGGAGAGGGATCCTCCCTCCGAGCGGGCAGTGGATGTTTGGGCGGACGGTGATATAGTTATCCCTTAGACGTCTGACCAGATCACTGAATATCATGAGACGTCTGACCAGGCCAAAGTATACGTCAAACGCCCGACCTGACCGGTTAAACACTCGGACGTCTAACTGAACTGTGTCATGCCAATCAGACTGAAAAAATATAGCAAAAAGAGGTAGAGGCAAGTGCCCCAACAATGCATGGACTGCCATCTTGATAACCAAACTCGGCAAGAATACATTTGCTAGTTCAGCTGTTCTACAGAGGGTCGACCCGGCCATTAATTATTCCATGCACGAGTCCGTAGCAACAAGAATATTACATTGGGCCGGTAACAAGCAGCAGGGCGGTGTTGTGGTGCTAAAGGTCACCGAACGTCGTGCTGAGAGAGATAGCAAAGGTCAGAGGGCGGACTGCTGAGTCGGCCGTTCTATAAATGGTTCAGGTATTGTGTGGTGCTGAAGAGAGCATCGTTCATTCTCCCACGTCAGTTAACTACAGGAAGCTCCCAGAGCCCAGAGGTCATGAGGTTCCAAACCATTAACCAGCTGGCTGGAACGACAACCAATGACAAGAAGTTTTTTTCAAGCAAGATAGCCCAACTAAGTTATAGAGAAAATAGCAGATGTCATCCCCATAAAACTGTGTAACGACTTGAGTAATATAATACTAAAGGCATTCAACCAAATGACTCCGACTTGGTGAATTAGCTCGAGCTCGTATTGGCTCGTATGTATCTTTGGCTGTGAATTAGTTATTGTGTGACTTGTGCCCACCCGAGGTGGCACAGTCTGGCGACACGACATCACATGTGAAACACGAAATAAAATACTAACTAACTTTATCACTTATTTCAAATATTCATTGGCTGTTTCTCGGTTGTAACAGGTTTTTACCGATGCCATTCAATAGTCGGCGGCCAGCAAACCATAGGATGAACACGACCGGCGACCTTTGGTTGGATCATACCGGCACTTCTGCCGACAGGGCCCTCTTCAGCCGCTGCGGCGGAGGTCCCGTATCAGAGCGAGGAATCATGTACGGCGCCATTTCTGCGATCTCTCCACCCGACACGATAAAGTTTTCCAGCGGCGAAAAACGGCCGACGTCGGTCGATACGGCCTGGCCGACTGCCAGGATCCCCGAACTGTCCGAACGACCGCCCTCCGCCGGCTAACTTCTCGGAGCCGCTCGTAAAGGCAGTCCGATCTTTCTTTCTTTCTTTTTTTTTTTCGCTGAGCACGGTTCATAGAATGGATACGACTACCCAATATCTAGTAGGATATCGCTTAAATGTTAAAACTCGACTGACTTAGGAGCGAATCCGATCCACCTTATCAAAATACAACTCCTGTAGACTCTTGCAAAAACATTGTAAAACATGATTTAGTTGTTATTATAATTAAAACAAAATCAGCTATACATTTATAACTAAACGTAAACCTTTTGTCTACGGCCCCGCACTATTATAGCAGCAGCCACCTGTACTGGTAGACTGTGCCGCTTGGCTGAAGTGTCAAGCGGCACAGCCTACCCATGTCGGTATCGTACGGGGTGGATAGGCTGTGCCGCCTTACAATTCAGCCAAGCGGCACAGTCTACCACTACGGTAAACCGGGCGACTGTGGCCATTGCGCAGTCATAAAGGTAGCCGGTAGACAAGTAGCTCCAGTACTTCATTCTATACCCGTGTGTACCCGCAATGGGCGTTCGTTCCCGACTGACCTGTCGCCCTGTGGATCTCGGGCAGGTGTTTGTTCCAGAAGGCGCACTGCCGTAACCGCAGACCGACGCCCACCTCTGACGAGTTGGACGCCAGCGTGAGGTACTTTTTGTCGTACGCCTTGTACTGGGGCCAGTAGTCGGTCGTCCATAAGTTGGCCGAGCCCCGGTTCGGGTTCCTGTGAAACGATGACGGGACATTGATATACCAAGAGAACTGGTCACAGGATTATTGACATTCACTTGCTTTGTTAATTATTTTAATTGCTGGCAGCTCGTTAGTGGCTTAGTTGTTAGGCATAATACTTAAATCTTAAATGTTTCGTCTAGTCTTTTTAGCGTAGACGGTTAACGAAATACCTAAGTAACTGGCACAAGCACACTCGTCAATACTAGTTTACCTAAAACCGTCACCAAATGGTGCAAATACACGTAGGCACATGTAGAACGGCAGTTGGAGAGTGGTTCCACGGCCAAATCCTAGCCTGAACAATTTGTTTTAAACGTGGTCCAACTGTTCCAAGGCAGAATTAAGGCATGGGTTGTGAATACATGTTGTAATTGTCGATGAAACACGCCTAAAAAAATACGTTTCTTTTTGCTTTTCAAAGCAAAGCCATTGCTGTGCCTAGCCCAATGGGTCCTATAGGACATTGATGGTTTTGCTAGATTTGTCAAATTGCTCCTAAACGACAACCCCAAACTGTCGAAACGAATGCGTCTTGAAAGCCAAAAATATATCGGGCTCTAAGAGGTATTCGACATGGCCATTGCCAAGTTCTGATGAAATCACCAGGTCATTGAAGTAAATCTTCAGGAGAGAGCCACACTTTATGCCGTCCTATTTTCAGCAGCGCCTGATTGGAGAATGGAGATTCAATTGGAGACAAGCTGTATCGTCCCGTTGCTATTGGAGACGATCCCTTGGCAACTCAACGTTGGAAGAGACCATCTAATGGTGAATCACATCTCAGTTGGAAGAGACAATCCTGTGGCGATCCGAGGCTTGAAACCTGTGACGGCCCGCAGCTACAGGAGATAGGGTAATGACGACCATCAGGAAGAGACAGCCTAGGCTTGTGACGACTCCAGTTGGGGAGCAGCTCACAGTCACAGGACGCAGTGATGTATCCCGTGTCTACTCGCTGCTGGACGTAGCGCTATGATGGCCCCCGGGGAGGCCGGTGATGGAGGACTCGCCCTGACGGCAGCCGACCCGGCCCGGCGCTCCGGCCGATATTCTCAGTGGTCGGCTGACGTCAGGCCGTGATCGGATATCTCATACCAGAGATGGGCGGGAGAGAGAGAAATGGACAGGGAACGGGAGGAGCGAGGGGATAGAGGGAGAGAGGGAGCCGAGACCAGAGCAGTTCCGAGCCGTTCTCCGACCTGTGACACTGGGCCATCAATTCGCTATTTCTGTTCGAGACTAACCAGCCCAAGTCTGGTTCCCAAAGGCTATAAGGAGCACAAAATAATGCCGACTGCTGATCAAAACGTCCCTGGAGGTTACGCAAAGACGCTGTTCCTCCAGCACCGCGAGACTGGCCTGTTGTTAGATGCTAAATCGAACTGCAGCCTATGTTCTGCAATTTGCAGCCTAGACTAGGCGAGTGCTCAGCTATCACCTCTGCCCCACCTCACAGTCGATTTAGTGCCATCACATTGCACGGACCGGCATGGTGCGGGCAGCGACCGTCGCGCCACAAATAGCGCCGGCGCGCCAGAAGCGGCGAATACGGCGCCGTGGTGCTCGCTCGGCTTCTGCAGCGCCGATCGATCCCGGGTACCCGACCGCCCAGACTTCCGCGTCGGTCGGCCGCGGCAGCGCCGCGCCTTCCCGCAGTCCCGTCCAGCGAGAGACGACGGCTGCTCGGTCACGGATGGACACAATTCAGTCCCAGACGAATTGTGATTCAGTCCGGTCACGAACCGAGGGACTTGGCAGGCCATTGTCCTTTGGATAACCCTTCACGGCTGCAGGAGTGGAGGAAGAAGATATCTTCTCCAAGTGGGTTGCTGTAATAAAAAAGTCAAGGATGAATCGAGCAACGAAGGGACGACGTTCTTTTGGAACGATGCGGAGGTGTACTACGAAGGAATGATGAATTATGCATTCTGCAACCCGATTACAATAACAATTTCAGCGCGCACGTGGACATGGGCGTAAGAACCTCACTAAAAGTGGGGAGGGGGGGGGGGGGCAGCGATGAGCGAAACGTGGGAGCCCCAATATCCGTGTGAAGAAATTCTTTGCAGTTTTGTGCTCATCTCACCTTGCTGCACCACCTCCTGCTCTTATTCTTGTATTCAAATAAAAAATAAATATTTTACTTTAAAAATGGCTGAAAAAGGGGGCCATGATAGCCCTCCGCCCCCTCCCCCTCCTATGTTCCTACGCCTATGCACGTGGACATGGTCTGAGCAAACATAGAGCGAACAGTGAGCAGATGCTCGCTGGCCGTACAAATAAAAACCGAGCGATGAAGCGAGAAGTAACAAACGGCGTTCGCGAGTTCGGCAGGGCTCTTAGATTGTTAGTTTTTGTCTCGTCAAAATTAAAGTGATACCACAAGCGGTCATGAAATGCCAAATTTTGAGAACTGATAGTGATACCAATGTTTTACGGCAAACGACGTGAACGGTAGCTAAAAAGTCAACGGTAGCTATTGAAAAACATTTTCCTGAATTAAACCCGGGAAAGAGCTTACCTTGTGTCAATTGTTTGGGCTATAAAGGTCTGTGGTTACGACAAAAGCTTAACATCGCAAAATGGGCTTTTGTGTGGGGTTTCTTGAGGTAAACTGCAAGAAGCTTGCGAATAAATCTGATCTCAGATCATGTGATCGACCTGCAGAGGTCAACAAAATGAACTAACCTTTTTGGCAGACGAAGCTTTTCTGCGAAATCATTTTCATACTGCACCTATGAAAGTCATTTCATCACTTCCATTGAAGGTTAATGATTTCTCCATGGCTTTGCAATGATAATGTCTTGAAGCTGACGTTACCCCAAATCGGAAGTATGCAAAATTTACGAGACATAGGTAATTACGAAACGATGATACTCATTTGTCAAGGAATTTACAAGGATTGAAGGTTCTGGGAATTGAGACGTCGGGTTGGCGATTGCATTTTTTAAAAGACTAAGGGTTACTTTACTTGTAGAGTTGCAAAGTTTCCCCCAAAGGCTGCTACCGGCACCGCCCCGCCCCACAAATTTTTTTGGGGATACCGGCATGCTACCACGCCCAAAGCAAAAACACCACCAAATTACCGGCATACTAAAAAACCTGCATTGTTGATTCCAGTTTACCCCTACAAGAGATGCCACATTTTCCTCTTAGTGTCCAAAGTTTGAATCATATACTAATATTTTTTTTGTGCAAAACCAAAAATACCGGCATGCTACCGGCAAGACATGACAGATACCACAAAAAAACCTGCGGTAGTGAAAAATTACCGGCATGCCGGTAATGCGGTAGGGAAACTTTGCAACTCTATTTACTTGTCCTGGTAAGCTTACCTAGGTTGCTTGAAGTTTGACCTTAAACAGGGTGATAAAATGTTGCGCTCTCAGCTATACCTAATGACTTTCGCGGAGAATGGCCAGAAACATTCTTGCCTTTGCGCCGAGTGAAAGTTGAAATTAGAGCCCTGAATTTACAACTGAAACATTCCGAGATAAGTCAGAGTTAGTTAATTGCCAATAGGGCCTTTGGTAATACAAGCATGGTCGTGTTGCATACCACATTGGGGCTCGGTTGCTGAATTCAGTGACGGACATTGAGCGAGTGCATGATAAAGACATTGCGAGGTGCCTAATAGTAATTGTGCATAATAACGACTCTTCTTTGACGGCAAAATTCGCACTTTCATACGTGTTAAAAACATATGTGTACAGAGTAGGTACAGTGGCGTATCTAGGATTTCTCTCAGGGGGGGTCCGCAGTCAAAAGGGCCCTTGACTGACGGGGTTGAAAGGGCCCTTAAGTGGCAAAAGGGCCCTTGAAGCCTGAGTTGAAAGGGCGTTAGCCCGCGCCCCGTAGGCGGGGGGGGGGGGGGGGCGAAACGGCACCCTGTCCTCTTCCGTAGCTATCTCCTAAATGACTGCAGATATCGCCACCAAACTTTCAGGACCTCTCCGGGCATCCATTTTACACATTGTGACCTTTTTCCAGAGGCTGTGATAGGTTGGCCGCAAATACGTCAGAATGACGTCATGTTCTGCCATTTTCGACCCAAAAAAGGTTTCGCAGGAAGAGCTATCAGGCCTACAGAGCTGTAGAAACATGAAAATGTTCCGATATAAAAAGTGTAGAATTAACAGGCTTAGGTCAAATCTGAGCAAAATTTACAGAAAGATCGTTAAAAGAGCTTTGTTTGTTTTGTTGGGTTGGACCCAGGCCCTTTCGGCTTTCGGTCTGACGAGACCATTTCAGGGCCGGAGGGATGATGCCGGTCCCGTAGCTCAGTTGCCAGAGCGTTGGACTCCGCGTGGTGAGAGCACGCGTACCCGGTTACACCAGTCCGGGTTCGAAGCGCGACGGGCGCTTGACATTTATGGGCCTCCTGACAGGTATGGTTGCGGTTGGTGGCAGGCCGTATCCAGGTGAAGTCAGTGAGGGGACCGGCCGTGCGCGGCTATGTGCGCACGTTAAACTTTGGACTCTAAATTCTGCCATAGAACTGGAATTGCGCGATCGGAGGGTAGAGGGCAGGGTCACCGCAACAAGCTTCGCTTAGCGGTGGCTCTGTCCTTGTGAATCCTTCCCATCAAAAGATTCGGACTAAATTTATTTTAAAAAAATGATAGGAATTGAGGGAGACATTGGTCTGGGCGGGCACCTTGGTGACTCACTGGGCCTGAGCCTGTCCAACAGGACAGGCCGACCAGCCTCCCAAGTGCTCACTGCACCCGGTTACGAGTGTGCTTCCTTAGGAGCTGCAGTGCGCTCCAATGGGAGCCGCCCGCATGGAATATTAAGTTGCCCGTCCAGGTCCAGTCCGGATCAGGGGTTGCGGCATGGAGGAGAAGGATTTGAATGTCCTGAGGATGGAAACGGCGAAAGGGGTGTTAAAAGAGCTATTAACTACGCTTTTCCCCGGTACTGTAGCTCTATTCATTTCCGAATCATGCGGTGGTTTGTTGAAAATTGTCGAAGTTGGACCTGAAAATT